GCCTCTAATAATAGCCCACAGCGTGGGGCGGTAGCGAGCAGCAAATTCCCCAAAAGTTGCTCCACATATCAAACTAATCCAATCAAGCTCACTTGGATGTATGCCGGATGTAGCCTATCGATGAAGCACACATTGTCAAAACATAATTAAAGTCGTGTTCAACAAAATAAGCAGCCTAAGAACGGCCGCACTAAAATTGTCGTATTTTTGAACGGAGTTTGGCGTGGGTTTAACCTCGCCTTGAAACGCACTCAGATCACCCGGAGAACCGGCTGTGACCGCGGCCTTGCAGTGGATAAAATAGGCTAAGTTACCGCCAGAAGTAAACAGCTAAAGTCCTTTCGTGTTTACCAAGTAAAGTCCTCTGCTCCATGTTGACAGGTGAGAGTTCATAGGAGCAAAGTTGGTCCCCTCCCGATGGAGCTGCGAGCCTGACTGTGTAACCCCCAAGAAATGGTGAGTGCGCGTGTGTGCATGCGTGCATGTATGTGTGTGTGTCAGACAGAGGGAGAGATAAACAGGGAGAGATGCTGAGGGGGCTCTTTGACTTTGAGCGCATAAGCCCTTATTTCATGGTGCCATTGTTTGTTTTAAGGACGTCAGGCTTAATACAGTTCCAGGCGATTTCCCAACATGTCTGTCCGCCCAAGCACCTCCAAGGCGCTCTGTTTGTGCGTGTGCGTGTGTGCGCGTGCCAAGCGTGCGCGCGCCCTTCATTCCTGTCGACTTTATCCTAACCCCTGTCATAAGCAGTGAATAATACGCACTTTTAAGGTTATTCCTCAGACATGTTGAATCAGAATTTCCTGCGTCATTTTATTTCATGCAAAAGAAATGTCATACACGGAGGTAATGTCGAGGATTTTACACATGGCTAAGACTAATTATGATGTTTAGAGTGCATATATCTGTGGTTTTAATGAGTTTGACTGCAGCCATATTTCCCATCAGCCTCACTGAGCAGCATTCTTTTAATTGCCTGTTATTTCCACGCAGGCCAGACATAGAGCCTTAATGTCAGAGCAAACAGGTTCTTTATCACAAGCTGAAAACAGGATTTAGAAAAGTGCTGCAATGCTGTGCTTTATCACTGAGGCTGTCAGGGCCATGTGAGTCCACGAGGAAACGGAGAATGTGTAAGAGAAATTATTGTTTGTATTGCGTAAATCCAAGGCAGTAATTACAGCTTATATTCAGGGGGCACGTCCCTCCAAAATATGTTAAAATGTCCCCCAATATATTGACAAAAAAAACATATATAATCTAAAAAATGTTATTCTACACCAGAAAAATTGCCATTATTATTTTTACAGTGCAGTTCTGCATGTTGTTTGTCTGCATGGTGTTGCCATACCCCAGCAGAGCATGGCTCATGGGCGTATTATTCGGGTAAAGTTATTGTTTTTAGTGAGTTACTTGTGATAAAGCCCACGTTAAGTCTATTGTACTTTTCATTTATTACATATACATATAGTATTCTATATTGTGTGTCCCTTTTGAGTTGCCATAGGGCAGAAGAAGCTGTTTTAAGGAACTCATGCATGTGTGAGAGTTTTTTTGTGTGATGAAAATAAATGGGCAGCACTTGCTTTTCGAGCTGTTTCACCATCTTCAGTTCCAGTTATTGTTTTATTAATCATTCAGCGAGGTGAACAGGGCGCTCGGCTACGTTACTGTAATATAGCAGGAGTTTTAAATTTTTATTTTTTATTTATTTAGGGAGCACCCTTGGCTGATTTGGTCCCCCCTGTGTTGGCTCCATGGCTACAGCCTTGCATAAATCCCTTCAATTTTGCACATTCTTTCTATTGATTCTTCATCATGAGGTCACCCAGTGTTTTGTTGTTGCCCGTCACAGTCTTCACACTGTGTCACACCCTTACTTCTGCAGCAGTGGTCGATACACATTTATGCAAATAAAGCATATTTGAATATGAGAGTGAGTGTGTGTAGTGTGCAGTATATGCCTCACTGAATGGCTTTGTAAAACAGGCCACGGAGGAGGACCAGCCTCTCTCTCTCTCACACACTCGCACACACACACACACACACACACACACACACACACACACACACACACACGCCTCTATAATCACCACTACTTGTAGCCTAGAAAGAGGGATATGGGTCATTGGGGGCCACACTGTGCCAGCTATCAGCCCCGGCAGCCAAAAAGTAATAACACTAATAATTACGTCTGTGTACGTTAATGTTATTTTACTACCAACAGACAAACTTTCACACACCTGTAGGTCGACAGGTGCATCTTGGGGCCGACTGTAGTAGAAACAAGTGCTCCCACACACTGTCTCCAACACATGCAATTATAGGAGATTTATAAGGAACATTTTGGAACAGAGACATCCATCAAGTTATCGTGACACACTGAGACCTTCACTGGGTTATTGTGACAAAATAACATAATGAAGGTCTCTGTGAAGTTGTTCCCAATAAATTAAAATCTCTTATCTCCTATTAGTGCAGGGAGTTCTTGTTATTTCACTGCAGACTTCTCTTTCTTTTTTTTGCCTTGACAAACAGAAACAAGTGGGATCCATATTTCCCTCCAGCATCCTCATCTTTGATGATGGCAGCTGAATACATTAAGTGCTGGACATGAGGCCCCAACAAGGACTTTAGAGGCTGTAAGAGTCAGACGCCTACTCACTTATTACACTCGGACAAATCCTCCTCTCCTCTCCTCTGTCCTGTCTCCTAAACCTTTTTATTCAGGGACCCGGAGACCTCTCCGGAACAAAACAGCTTTTAGCGCTACCATCTCTCTCTCTGCTTGTGTTTTTCGCAAATAGCTCTCTCCCTCCCTCTCTCTCTCTCTCTCTCTCTCTCTCTCTCTCTTATTTCTCTAAAAAAAACTGTCTGTGAAAATAAATGGAGCTGTTGTAGGAGCACATCAAGTCATTATCTGATTAAGGCCGTTTTATAACCGCTGCTGCTCAAGGTATTAGATCTTCTCCTGAATAATATTAATTCTTTCTATGATAATTCATGTAACACAAATTTAGAAAGCAGTTTGGTTATGTTTGTTGATTTTCTGAATTCAGATTGCTCCAAAAATAAGACAAAAACTTTAGTATTAATAGTGATAATGATGAGAGACAGCTGACCCGTCGTTGATCCAAATTAATGCTGAGGAAAAATAGGCCACTGGCGCTTCTCCACTCCGGCATACCATCACCGCGTGCGCGCACTTATTACCACTTAATTGTGGTCAGATTGTAATAAAAAAAGTACCTTTATAACACCTCTGGGAGATATACTGTTTTCACTCCCTCCCTCCTTCTGCATTTGGGCCCAACTCTAATAAATATGTCAATAAATTCAGCCATCAGTGCGCATTGCCAGAGCGCATTATCAGTCTTGGGCATCGAGGTGTGTCGCACTCGACCCAAAAAAAGAGGGGGGAAAGTGAGTTTGAAATAAATACACGCGTTGATCCACCTGGAATGGGCCGCGATAAGAGCAGCCAGTGTTAACCGACACGTTTCCTCTACACCTCATCCGAGTCTTCCTTTTCCAAACACGCGTTTCTTTAATGTCCCGGCCTGTTTTTCCAGCCTGTGTGCGCACCGACGGCACCCAGGGGAGCCGAGGCCAAATCAGCCACAGGCCAGTTGAGGGAGTAAAAAGGGGGGGCCGGGACACCTGCTTTGGAAAAGACACTCCAGACAGTAAAAGTTTGCTGACTTCGTTGCAATTCGTTCGTCCTAAAAAACACTTGCTTGCGACATGGAAAAGAGACTCGCCTTTTCCCTTTTGGCACCTGACAGAGGCGCATATGGAAAATAAGATTTCAAGTTAAGTGCTTTAGGATCCTGTTTGTGCAGAGGATAAAAAAAGAAGATTCGGAATCCAAAGTGAAAAGCTGGAGAAAAGGGCAAAAGCAAAAAAGTACGCTGATCTGAAAATAATAGTGTGTGAACAAGTTTTTCTTTAACAATTTGACGGATACGAATAAATGTAACTTCATTCACCAATAATAATTATTAGAGCAATAATTAAAACCTTTGTTCTAAAATAAATGTATCGGTTATTATTATTTCTGTAATTTCAGACACGCAGACTGAAGCAGATAAATGTGACCTGTATTATCCAGAAATCTCATTAAACTAGATGCAGAAAATCTCTGCTGTAAAGATTAATTTCAGTGGCACACATGCCCAAATAATATCACTAAACAATTTGAGCAAATACACCTGTTGTGTAGTTGGAAGAGTAGAATATTTGCAGAGCGCAAAAACTGCAGTGTAATTTTAAATATCCAATTTGTAGGAATGCAGGAGGAGGACGAGCAGCCGTCATCATTTCATAAATCAGAAGCGTCGAGTAGGTTTTTCTGTGGAAAGGATCAGATGTCAGTGTCCGCAGGGTTCAGCCTCACAGGTGGGAGAGTTTCAAAAGAGGAGTAAAAATCAAATCATTCAAAATCTTAATTTTCAAATCATAAATGTGGATTTGTTTGCGTTTACAGTTTAACTTAATTATCACTTTCTGATGACAGTGCAGTCTTTACGCACGGAGGGGGACATTTCAATGGCAGACTGTGGATCCGAGTGACAGACGTTTCATGATGATATTCGGCTCTTAACTGAGCGTTTCACAAAGAGACGTTTAGCTCTCCTCAGATATGGCTTCCCTGGATAATCTGAATTCCAAAGCAAAGCTCGTGAGCTTCTGTGCTGCTTTGCTTGTTTCATAAATCAGACTTTGCTTTGCTGCAACCAATGAGGAAACTCTGCGCGTAAAATATCCCTACATGCCACTTTGAACCCCTCAATACCCAAGTGACCCACTACTGCAGCCTAAATGCGTACTTCACTTGCAGGAAAAAAATGCACATAGTGATGTTTAGAATAAAAACACGTTAATCACTGATATTCAGACATATTAATATATCACATTACAAAGTTGGTAATCGTTGGAAATGACTGGGCTTGACGGAATGTTAATGCGCTTTAATGGAGTCATAAACATAATCGAAACATGCGTAAACACCAGCGTTGAAAAAAAAAGTGGTTTGATTGTAAAATAAATTGTTAATTTTGAGTTTTATTGCTACAAAGAAGGCTGGAAGAAACATTTCCAATAAACAGTATCTGCCTTAATTCATTTATTCATCTTTAAAATCATGCTTTTTGTCCTTAAATGTATGGAACAAATCTCACTGGGTGCCAAATAAATCAATATTTCTTAAAGTGAAATTGTTCTTATTCTGATTTTTATTCAAAATATATTTGAATCAAAGTAAAACTTTCACATTTATTATGAAGGACTTTTTAAAATGAGGATGAATAAGATGATAAAATGTGGACTATGTGTTTTATTGCGGCTTGAGGTGTAATGTCAAAGTGCGTAACGATTCTTACTCGCGCAGTCGGTGATTTGGGAAGAAAGAGATTAGTAAGAGTGGTATTTCCTTTTTTCTCCCCCTCTCTCTCTCTCTCTCTTTAGTTGTATGCTCAAGTCCCATTCTCTGGTCAAGTTCAGTGCGTTGTTCTCCGGACCGGACGGACGCTTCTTATTGGTAGGTTGCGACAGTTACATCACGCCGCTCATGACGCGCACGTCTTCCTGTTTCCTTCAGCCGCGTCTTAAAGTGAATCTTAGTGGCGGAGGAGCGCTCCAGCATCCAGTCCCTCTGCATCCAGTGCGCCTCGGAGACGCACACACGCAGTCTCTCTCTCTCTCTTTCGCACCCTCTCTTGCACTCTCTCTATGTCTCTCACTCTTTCAGTCACAGCAGAGGATAGAGGGAGAGACCGACGCGCAAGAGCTCTTTTCATCTTCTATATTTTTCCTATTTTGTTCCTTTCGCCGGCGCCGCTGACTTTATTCCAGCTCTCCTTCCTCCTCTGAGAAACTGTTACATCCCCAGCATCCAGCGATCCGCCGAGCTCTGCGTTGTATATTCTGTCTTTTTTGTGTGTTGTTGCCGTAGGAGTTCAGGTTGTCCCCCTCTTCATCTAAAGGGTAAGTAACCTTGTCCTCGGATACCTCCCTCTCTTGTTCTTGTTCTGCCTCGCCTGCGCGCGGTGGGCGTAAAAAATAAACAAATCAAACATCATGATGAACGGGAGGAAATTTATTCCGGTGGTGATCAACAGCTAATCATATCTATACGACCATTATTTGCTCTGTTTCGTTCCCCTCATCTTGATGTGTGGTAAGAGTTGTTGCGCGAGCAGCCCCTATTTTTTTTTTTCTGTTGCGAGGATGATTTGCGGACGGTAGCCCAGCCTTCCTCATCAAACGCGGAGATCAAGTTGATTTGCAACTTCTGGAAGTAAGTTTTGGAAGTGTTTTTGAGACGTGACTTAAAACATGAGTTGATTTTTCACCGGAATTGAGATGTAGATTTGATGTCCCGTGCGTGTTGATGTTTTTTGTGCGTATTGTCTTTGTCCTGTGGGCTAAATCTTAATCTAACACCTCTTAAACGCCGTTGTATTTGCACAAAATCCACACCAGGCAGTTGTGAAGCTTGTCAGTGCTCCTGTTTTGTGGATTTGGTGTGTGTCTTCTGCGGCAGCACTTTTGGAAGATTGTGGTAAAACGTTGCCGGTATGTTGTTTTAAGTGTGCGCAACTCTTTGGTCTCTCCTTGGTTTGGATAGTTTGTCCAGTTACCATATGTGCAAAAGCCAGATCTCTTGTTTATCATCTTATAAATGTTAAGTTTAAAAAGTTGCAGCAACTGTGTGTTATTTAATTTATTTAAGTTCAAACCTGATTATTTTTTACTTTCTGTTTCTGATCAGCCGGAATGTTTCAGCTTGAAATAAGGTGAAGAAGCAGCTTAAAAGGATGAGGTGAAGATCTTTAAAAGTTAGAGTGAACATCAGCTCCTTCATAGCTTTTTTTTTTTTTTTTTTTTTTTTAACGAGAGAGAGTGAGAGTGCGCATGGGCAATGGGAGACAGGTGCGCCGTCGGAAAAGACAGGTGCTGGTGACTATTTCAAGCTCATTGTTAAGATCCTGAGGCGATCAAGTCAAGGTTTTTTTTCTTGGAGATGTATCACCTCTTGTCTGAGCTGCTGGATGTGGCTGTCAAGACTTGGGCCAAAGCCATTAATCAAAAGGGGGGTTTCATTTTGGTGTCACTTTAAAGGGATGGATTTTAGGAGGAAAACATTTAACTGAGCCTGCTTTTACAGTAAATTTAAACTTTCAGTCTTTTATTGTCAGTTTGTGAAATGTTTTTTCCGAGTGACAAAGCTGCCAGTGGTGCATCACAGCACACAGTGTCTAACAAAGCCAACAGCAACGTTGTGTGTGTGTGTGTGTACAGTGTGAATGTGTGTGTGAGGCTTAGTGACAAGAAAGAAGCTTTTCTTTTTTAATTAATTTTCACATGCAGTGATGATGTAAAGATGGTGCAATTTCTTTTAGTTACAACGAGCAAATAATCAGGTAAAGAGAATATTTTTAAATCCCACTGGAGTGGGATTCAGTTTTTTCAGTTTTCTGCTGTTTTCTCACACTGAAACTGAACTTTGAAATTAGACGTCTTCAAATGTCTTTTGTCTTCGAATATCGTAGCAAAATTCAACATAAATGAGTCGGATATTTGACTTTAAATTAAAGAATTTAAAGCTATGTTGCAGATCTTAAAGTTGCCTAAATGGGTGTATCGTTTGAGTATATTTGCAGCCTGTAAAACTAAATTTAAAGAAGGAATACTGTGTTTGTCATATTCATTTTAATTTTTTACTGAGCCACCGTGAGTCTTAATAAGAGCTGGTGTTTTTCTGAGGGGTGTAAAAAGAATAAGTAAATTGTTACACCACTTTTGCCACTTTTATGCACTTCAGAAAACACTGTCAGATTTATTTTCTATTTATTTACAAACCTCAGAAATAATTTATTTTTTTAAAGAGCGGCATACAGATTAAATACTCTGTTTTAATATCACCACATTCAAGACTGGATGCATCTGATATGGCTCCGACTGAGACACTGCCACCGGTGCTTACATAGCAGTATTGATGCAGGCCTGTACTGACAAAACGTTTTGCTTTCAGAGGGGCATTAGGGTTTTTGTAAGAGCGCTTTAAGTTGCTCCTTGCCAGAGTTGACCCTTGTGACCTATTCATTTGAGCAGAATTAACTGCCCTTGCCAGATGAAAAGACAAACAAAAAAACACAGAAGTGAGCTCACACTGGCACCAAAATCAATAGGCCTATTTTGTGTTTCTTTTATGTGTCACTCTCCCCGTTGCTTAAGATATGATGGCCATATTGATTAATGTGAGCACGGGACTTGCATTTTAAAATTACGCAACGTGTAAACGGGGTTTAAAATGAGAATATTTTGTCGAGTTGACCAAACGATCGCTCACTTACATAATAGGATTTCATGAAGGGTATACAATGTGCATTGCCTCCTCTTGTACACCACTTTTTAATTTTCTTTTTTTAGAAACTCTTAACCCGATTTCTTTTATTTTATTTTGTGTTAATAGCTCCTGTGTTGCCTCACACCGCACAAAAATGGAAATGAGGACAAGTACTTAAGTAATTATCATAATTTTATGCAGCTTTGTGTTCCGTGGGAACTGGTTCAGTGTCGCACTGCGTGTAACAGGGGACAGGATAAAATGTAGGACTTTGCCCTGGAATGCCGAGCCAAGGCCTAATTCTGACCCCATCTTGCCTGTTCCCTTTACCCCTCTGTCTCTGGTCCTTCTGCCTAACTGTAATCACGGATGCACCCGTCCCTTTTCAAAGCATATTAGGAGAGATTGGCTGCTGGCTTGAGACAGAACTCTTCTCTTTTTATCCATATCATCGTCTAATGTAAATCTCTAGAGGTTCATAGATTTTAATTGTTTCAGTTTATCAAAAACTGTAAAGCTTTTCTTTTGAAAATAAGTGTTGGAAAATAAATGCATCAGTGACTTAGACTCTGAAAATCTTCCTCACTTTGAGTCATGCATCTGTGAATTTTTTGCCCACAGGTACTCAGAGGCTTTGATCCTAGAGGACTGGGTTTGCGGGATATGGCCCAATAGCAGCAGCCCGTGATGCCGGACCATGACAGCGACTCCCTCCTGAACAGACAGACCAAGCGAAGACGTGTGGACATTGGTGTTAAGAGGACCGTGGGCAGCACAGCCTCCTCCACAGCAGCAGCCACAACAACAACCACTGATAACATTGCCCGCGCCAAAGCAGCCATTTTCAGTGCCATGAACTCTCTGAGCTCCCACTCTCACCACGGATCAGACACCGACTCCATGGAGTGCTCTGTAGTGCAGCCACATGGTGGGCCTGGCGTTGTGTCAGCCAGCGACAGCGAGTCCAAGTCTAATGTACTCCGAAAGCTACTGAAGAGGGCCAACTCATACGAGGACACCATGATGCCCTTCCCTGGCACCACAATTATCTCCCAGCTTCTCAAGAATAACATGGCGAAAAATGGAGGGGGACCCGAGAGGGGAGAAAGAGGGGACAGGGGTGATAGAGGGGATGTCGGCTTCCCCGGATCAGGGCTTTCCAATGCAAGTTCAGATGCTCCCCAGGAAGATGCCTGCAGTAACTCCTCCCATGATAGCACCCCTCAAGAATGCTTGTCACCCTTTGGTCGCCCTCCCGGCCTGGCCTCATTTGACATTGAACGTCTCAATGATGAACACCTGCGTGCCAAGCGAGCCCGCGTAGAGAACATTATACGTGGTATGAGCCACTCGCCCAGTGTGGTGGTACCTGCTGCCTCCCGTCATGAGCGCGACCATGAGATGGATGGAGACCGGGAGATGGATCTAGACTGCCCACCCCCTCAGTCTCAGCAGCAGGCCCCCAGCAGCCCACGGGGAGGCGAAGTGTGCAGCAGTAGCAGCCGAGAGAACAAGCGTAAGCAGCGTCTGCCTCAGCAGCAGCAACAGAGCTTCACCCAGCTGGTGTGCCAGAGGAAGGAACAGAAGCAGGAGGAGCGACGGCAACTGAAGCTGCAGCTGGAGGACATGCAGAAACAGCTACGCCAGCTGCAGGAGAAGTTCTTTCAGATCTATGACTCGACTGATGACTCAGAACACAACGACCTCCACAATGACCTCCACAACGACATAGGGAACATGTCTGAAGACAGCCCGGGCAGGTCTGACACCGGCGCCGATGACCGGGGTGGAGATGACTTGCGCTCTGACAATGAAATGTCTGACTTGGACCCGGGCCATTTCCTCGACAGGGCGCGGGCGTTGCTTCAGGAGCAGGCCATGCTGGCGGACGGAGAGAAGCCAAGAAGAGAGGGGCTCAGCCGGAGCAAAGGACAAGGAGGTCCAGGCTCCTCCATGCATGCTGAAGGTAAACAACTGGCAGAAACACTCAAGCAGGAACTCAATTCAGCCATGACCCAGGTGGTGGACACAGTGGTTAAGGTGTTTGCCAAGCCTCCACGCCCCACACCCCAGCAGGCCTTCCCCTCGCTCTCCATACCTCCTGAGAGATTTCCCACCACCGTCAATGGAGACAACCCCAACTTCCATACCGCCAACCAGAGGCTGCAGTGCTTCGGCGATGTCATCATTCCCAATCCACTAGACTCCTTCGCCAGCATGCCCGGGATGCCCGGTCCCACCAACGACCAAACCGAAGCGATACCCTTAGTCGTGAGGAAGACACCCAGCGAGCACCACCACCACCAGTCCTCAGCTGTGGGAGCCCATGGCGGGCACCACCACCCCGTCCTCCACCCCTCATCGCTCTCAGCCTCCATGGGCTTCAGTCCCCCATCCTTTAGACACCCCTTTCCACTGCCTCTCATGGGCTACCCTTTCCAGAGCCCCCTTGGTGGGCCCACAGGTGGCTACCCAGGCAAGGACCGTTCCTCTCCAGACTCTATGGACCTGTCCAGGGAGACCACCAGCCTGAGGACCAAGATGGCATCAGGTCACCACTTGGCGCACCACCATCGCTCTTGTTCACCAGCACACACTGGCAGCACAGCCGAGGGACTCTCCCTGTCCCTCATCAAGTCTGAGTGCAGTGATCTCCAAGACATGGCCGACATCTCTCCCTACTCAGGCAGCAATGTATCCTTCAAAAAAATCTTTGTAGTTTGTGTGTGTGAGAGTGTGTGTGTTTGAGGGGGTTGAAAGGCAATAATAAGTGACCCTGATGTTTTAAACTCTTCATAGTCCAGTTCAGACAAGCTCAAGCCAGTGTAAGCGAGGAAAAATCAGATTTCAGGTGGTAATTCCCCGCAGAGACAGGTGTGAAGCATTGCCTCTGAACCACAAAGAGTTAAAAATCAAACTCTTTTTAGCCTGCTTGAAACTAGCCTAAGAAAACGGAGAAATTGTTGATGAATCACTTTTCCTCCCACTGCTGTTCTCTTCTCCATTGTACTGCATTGTTGTATTTATTTTTGTACTCATACCTCTTCCTTCCCCAGCACCGTACTGCCTTTTCTTCCATCTTCAATCCTAAGTGCTTTAAAAGCTCTGTTGTCACATATCACTTACTCACGAAGATTAGGTCCCCACGACATTTACCGCCCCAATTCCTTTTGATAAAAAATGCCCCTGAAAGAACAAGGAGATAGCATCCCGAAACTTGGCACACAATGGTGTTATATAGCCTCCCTTATAGTTTAACCCCAGCGTGCCCCAATCATGCCCTACGGATAAAGAGGCTATCCCCTATGGGAGGCTCAAATTGAATCCCCCGGGGACTCCGGACTAATAGCTTAAACAGATACATTCAGTCTCAGTTTCCCCCTATACCTCCTTAGTCCCTAAGTATTCAACACCCCTTAACCCTTATGAAAGTTTTATTCGTCTCACACTGCTCGTCCTTAGAAAGCTTTGTCTTCAAGTCATTAACATTCATTACATGCTTAAGAAATTAATCCAACAGCTCTTTACCTGTTGGGGTATATTAGTTAAGTGAATATGCCTTGTTTTTGCTGTTGTGGGTACCTGAGTGCCTTGCGTTTTTTTTTTCCGAGTGTGTCTGTGTGTGTCTTTTTGTGTGTGTCACAAAAGGTTCGCCTGAGGACTCAGTAAAGATGTATATTTATGATTGCTTGTGTTTTCTCTTGTGTTCCTCTTATCATCCATCGCTGTTGTAAAAAGCCCACAATCATTGTCGTTTCTTTTCCCTTTTTTTCATTTCATAAAGATCTGTCAACAGCCCGGGGGGCCCTTCGGCTGTTGCTTGGCAGCCAAATACTTCTTTTTTTGTTTTCCCTCCCTGCAAACCCCCCCCCCCCTCCTCCCTGTCTTTTCTTTGAAGCGGACGTTAACAGGTGTTTGCAGCGAGCTGTTTATCTTTCATTACCTCGCCTTGTCTTGTCTTCTGACCCAAGGGTGAACGCTTTCCAGAGATCCATAATCCTTTGCTTCTGCAGGCTCCCGATGGAGGGATGAAAAGAGAAAAGGGAGAGAGACACATACAGAGACTGAGAGAAAGTAGAAAACAATCAAACAATAACCACATATGCCAGATGCTGTGGCTTTCATTGTAGCATTTATAAATTCAGGGCATTAGCAGATGTACTTCCCTAAATGGAAAGAAAAGGCAGAACAACATGTCCACAAGTTGTTGTTGTTTTTTTTTTTTTTTCATCTTTTATTTTTGATTCCACAGGTTCAGGAACTAAGTTTGACATTTACAAGATATAGATTGGTATTTTTCATATTATAATTAGATACTTATAAATCATTTTATTTGCATTTGTACTCTCTCGTTTATAGATTTAAAAAAATACATTTTCTTTTTTTTTTTTTTTTCGGAGCCTCAGAAGCCAGAGACAGCTTGTCAGACATTTTGCGAGGTGTGTTCAAGTTCACCAGCTCTCAGCAGCATCGTGGAGCAGATGGCTGCTATCAATTTCCTCATTTGTTCTCAGTCCGACTCCAAATATTCTTGTCCTTACACCTGGAATTAGGGAGTGGAGCAGCTATTTCCCTCTCATGACTTTGGGTTTTGGGGGATGTGTCGTGAGAATGATGATGTCTTGTCAGATGTGGCAGGCGAACAGTGGGCCAGCTGGTATGAGTGCACCATCATGACAAAATAATAGCCTCGCACGCCACCCCTAAGTCCAATCACAATTACATTTGCAAGCTGTGAGTGAATCGGAGATGAAAATGCCTCATCAGGAGATATGAAGCTTCTTAATTGCCGTCTGAAGGGAGGTGATATTGTGTTTATGGCCGGAGAGGTAAAACCTCGACGTCTTTGTTTTAAAATAATTTTTAATTCCCGCGATAAGGGGAAAGCGATGCTAATCCTAATTGAAAAAGCAAAAACAAATTAATCTAAGTGTAAGTGCGCAGCTTTCACCGCAAACAAATCCCACCTTGCCTTACCGAGAAAGAGCTCTCTTTTTCTCTGTCTCTCCCTCCCTCTCTCTGTCTCTCTGTCTGAGGATCCATTGTATCCCCTCCACTTGGAGCAGATGGTGTGGTGTGGAGAGTGAAGTGCTGCTCTTTTGGCCAGGCCTGACAGAGTAACACCAGTCTGCCAGGGTTTCCCCCACAAGACCCTCGCTGCGTATACAACTCTCTCTCCCTTTCCCTCTCCCTCACTGAATCAGACAAAGTAGACAGGGTTTTTAAGGAGCCAACCCAGTGTGGTTCAGTATTTGCTGGCTTTGCTGTGTAACCCTGAGGCCAAGGGCAATCCAATCTAGCAGCTGATGCCTTCTTCCCACTCTATAGTTACAGCTACATCTGGACACTTGACTGATTTTAACGATCACAGCCACCCCTGTAGATCATAAATAATGTCAAGCAATGTATTTTGTCCACTGGAGTGTAAACAGTCTTCATGAAAACTTGGGGCTGTGTCTTCTGTGTAATTTAAAGCCCTGTCTTGCTCCTGCTTGATGAAAACCCTTGTTGAAACAGCCTGAGGTTTTAACATGCAGCCCACCCCCCACCCCTAGTTCCCTTTTCAATGTCTTATCCTCCAGATTGATATTATCAGATGCATTATACGGCCGTTAATTCACCATGGAAATGGCTTGGGCCGTTCGGTGGCGCAGATGTGTTTCAGTCCCCCCATCACTGGCTGAGTCCAAAGCCTCAGAGCCCCTCTTCTCCTTCTCCTCCTCCTTCTTTTGCTCCTCCAAGGGTTTGGCAGCAGCAGCGAGGCTGGGGGGGTAGTAGGGGTGGAGCAGAGGGAGGAGGAGGGGGATGTAATTGAAGGTTGGAACCATACTATCCCTCAAGGTGCCCCCACCAGCCCATCTCCATCTCCATCCTCCTCGCTGTTCAATCCAGGCGATCCATTAGGAAGACAAGGCCTCTGACATGTATTTGAATATGGCCTGTGCAAGTGCGAGAAGGTTTTTCATGTTGCTCGGGCCGGGACTATCTCCTAGACCTTGTTTTGTCACTGATATGAAGCCAATATCAGACAGTCATATTCAGGCTTGGCATGTGTTGTCGCCAAGCCATTAGGCCTTCTTGCCCGTCACTGGCGTTAACTGCTGTCTTTGTCTGTGATATGCAAATGCCTCCTTTTTTCTTCCTCCTTTTTTTTGGGTGGAGGTTAGCGTGGGGTGTAGGCAAAGGCGTTTGCTTACTTTGACTGTGAAATGAGCCTCCTTATGTAAAAGCATCGGCTGTACTGCTGGCCGGCGTTTTATTTACCGTGACGCTCTCACACCTGATACGGACGATGCTAATTGCAAGCAAATGGTTTTGCTTTGGTGCACTGTCTTCGGGCCTCCCCCCACCAACACCACCACCACCGCCGCTCTCCAGCCCCCCCAGCATTCATGCCTGAAAGGAGATTTGGTTACCCATCATCCAAATGATAATTTCTTGCCAGTCTTGCTGCCAATTATTAGCATCTACATATTGTATTTGTGATGATATCAGTAGCTTGATCTACCAGATTGTTTCCATCCAAACAGTTGTTAATGTCCTTAATGGCAGCTATGTCCAGATCCAAGAAGGTCTCTCCCCCAATCATCTGAAGAAGGCCAAACTTATGTTTTTCTACACCCGCTACCCGAGTTCTAATATGCTGAAGATGTTCTTCTCTGATGTCAAGGTAAGCCAAAAGGTGTTCTACCTCTTCTTCTTTTATTAAACAACCTTTGCTAGTGTTTTCAATTTGATTTTGGTGCATCAAACACTTACTTTCCTGCATTATGGTGAGTTTTTATGCACCAATTTGTGCCTCTTCTGAATAAATTTATGCTGTAAATGTCTTTAATTTTGTCAAAAAAAAGTCCTCTTCTAATTTCATGTCTTTATTGAGGAGTAACAAAAGCACATATTCTAAATATCTAGGGTCATGTTCCCTCTTTCCCCCCCGACATCTACACCCGTGCATTCGGCTGTTCTTTGTACCTTCATCTTCTTGAGATAATGACGTCTTTTGCTGCGTGTAACAAGTGTAAAAATTGATGACACTCTGTCGCCTCTCTTTTCTCTTTTGCCACATTTCTTATTTGTACATTTCGTCTCCGCACCTGCTGTAAAAGGGGAATTCATTAATTGTGTGCCAGCTTCAGTTGCCGCGAACAGCGTATACTCGTCTGTCTTGAAACGAGGCCCTCTCCCTCCCCTAAGTTATGGTTTTATGCAAAAGATGAAAGAAGAGGAAGTTGAATGGGTTTACATGAGGGAGCTGGAGAGCCTATGAGTATTCTAAAGATAAAGAGCGGGATGAGTAATGAAGAGGTGGAGAGGGCAGAGAGGAGGATGGAGCCCAGAGACGGAGGAGTGGTTATCTGAGCAGGTGTAGGGTGGATGGTTTGATAGAGGGAGGGGAGAAGAGAAAGAGTCGGTTTTAGGGGGAACATGGCGAGGATGAGCGTTAGCGCCGCTGGGAGTTTAATGAAGGAAATTTTGGAAAACAAAACACAATATGTAAGCTGCAGAAAAAAAACCAAGAACACAATGGCCGTTGTAGTGTGTGCGACCGAGTTTGTGCGTTGTTGTTGTTGTTGTTGTTGTTTTGTGTGTGCGCGCCCCTCTCAGACCATACGGAGGGGTAAACACTGTGACATATCCAGGCCATCTTATTCAAATCAGAAGATAAAGGTTCCCTTTTTTCCCAGCTGCCCCCTCTTGGATGCCATCGCTCGTGGGTCACGTGGTTTTCTCTCAGCACATCATTGGTCAGGTTGAAAAGGAGGGTTACACAGCGCACCTATAAATGCTGATCCATTACAAAACTCCTCAATATTAAAGCACCCTACTGGTTTTACATTCATGTTACAACAATTTCTATTGAAGATCACTTAGTTTCACTGACTGATCACACACAGGGAGGTGGCCTCTCCTTGGTGGCCTCCTCGTGAATGACATCATCAGATACTTAAACAAGGTCAAGATAGTTAAGGGGATTATGAGTCAGTTTGTTTTTGTTTTCAGTGGCGCACAATGGACTCAAGCTGTAAGTTAGCAGACATGTATGGGAATGAGACTAACTATCTAATTAGATGCAGCCAGCGCGGCCTCTTAGCGAGTGGCCGTCCTCAGACAAAAGTCTTGAAGGCTAATCAGGTCTCGACTAATCGGGTCTTGACTGTCAAGAATCTAATGAACGTGGGAAGTGGGTTGCCCTAACAACTGGGGGACGCTGTGTCTGTTGCCCCCCTTCATTAAGCTCCTTTTAAGACTATTGTGACTTTTTTTTTTTTGACTTCTGGTGTTTGTGAAATGTTTTGACAGATGTGTCAAAATGCCATTGTTTGCGCCGCTAATGACGGCCTATAGTATCATCCCGCTAGCTTTAAGACGTCTCATTGTGATCGCAGATATTGTTATGATAAGGGGTGAGTAATTATAACAGATTAATGCGCAGATTAAATAAATATATGCAGTCAATTAATGAAGTTAGCAGAAGTTGTTGCCTTTGTGAAGAGATAGTGTGTGATGCGTGGGTGTGGATTTTGGGGGGTGACACAGGGGGCAGGTCCGCCTCAATATTTAAAATATTTGTCCCCCAATAAAAGCATAGAAGTTGCAGAAGATTTTTATTGTGGCGAAATTAAATTAACACCATAAATTAGTGCGCAAACATTCACGAGAATGCAGGAAATTAAGTGGTTGATGCTCAAATTTTTTGGTGGAAGACCCCCAGATTCCCCGTTTCATGTGCTTCCTGAAACAAAACCTACACCATTAATATACTGTATAATAATTCCAGGCTGTTTGGACCTTTGTGTATTGTATCGTTTTTAAGCTGACACACACACACCTTGCGTTCTTTATCTGCCTCTCTGCGGCTCTTTCAGTGGCAGGCTTCAATATTTGGGCCAGTCATGTGCCGTGGAGTGGCGGAGGTCAGGAGGGTTTTCCCCCTTTTCTATATGTCATTCCTTCTCTTTTCTTTTTTTTCGCTGATGGTGTGGCATGGTATGTGTGCCTCGGCGGGGCCGGGGAGAAAGAAAAGCCAGCCGCTGGATTTGAGTCGCCGCAGTAACAAAAGCCCGCTTTCCAGGGTCGCTTTTTGTGTGCAGTCAGCCAATAGGCAGCCGGAGATTATCTCCCACAATTCACCCCTGCGAAAACAGGAAACGTTGGAAAGCCCTGATGACTGTGAAGGGGCTTACGAGAGAGAGAGAGAGAGGGAGAGAGGGAGAAAGAGTGAGAGCTAAAGAGAGAGAGGGAGAGGCCCGTACAGGCTTCTCTGTCTTTCTGCTCTCCTCTCCGGTTGTTCTGGATGTAGCTTAGCACTCTGAGGTCATCTGTGTGCTTTCTGCTCCACTGCTGACCACTGTGTCACAGAAAGTGTTGACGAGAGACACACTTTGGCTTTTCGGCTAATCATTTTTATCCCGAACCAAAAGACGGGACTGTAAAAACCAATTTCATTCTCTTTTATTCCACATTAATAATAAATTTGCTCGTGTGTGTGGAGAAGTTTGAGACTGACGATTAAAGCGCCTGAATACTTTTGGCAGGCGACTAACATAGCTTAGACCAAGGATGCTTGAGTGTTTTCCTATTCTGGACTTAAGTATGCGCCTGTGCATGGGCAGAACATATGTGTGTGTGTGTGTGTGTGTGTGTGTGTGTTTGTACGCCACTTTCTATCTTGTGCTGTTAGCACTAAGCGCTGACCTTTCACAGGCTCTTGAGTGTGAGTGTGAGAAACACGCTCTCGCTGTCTCTCTCTCATCTGCCTCTCAGCCAGGCGCGCACACACACACACACACACACACACACACACACACACACACACACACACACACACACTTACACGCTCAAACACAGACACTTTTTTTTTTTTTTTTTCTCGCTGCATCTCATGTCTGTGCTGGCTGACCCCTGCCAGCTCTGATTAAGGAGCTGCAGTGATGTGCTCCTTTGAACCAATTCCCTCCTTTTACACTGAACACACTTAGCCGCTATCAGGGGGTCTCTGTCCCCCCACCAGCAAACGTAATGAACCAAGACTGCTGGAAGCTGCGGGGGGGACTTGCCAAACCCGAGTCCCTGAGTGTGTTGGATGCAGCTGATGCAGATATAATGCAATTTAGTGTGTTTACCTGCATGCACAGTAAATATTGTGCCTTTCTGTGTGCTCTGCGCTGTGATTGAGCCACAGTTGAGTTCAGTAGCACAAGCCCTAATACATCTTCTCCCGAGCTGTCCATATAATAAAGTAATCCTTGTCCAAATGACAAATCTATCCGTCACTCGGCTGCAGTGACACCAAAGGTCTCCTGCATGAGCGATGGCAACTCTTTCACTGACTTTAATCTCAGTATGTAGCGCTCAATCTCGCACGCGCTCAGATGCATGTACGCACACATGCTGGCACAGATTGACGCCAATTCGCTAAATGTCTTGGACATTGGCAGACTTGTTCTGATCTTACGTGTGAGGCGAGGTTTATATCACGCTGACAACTTGAGTGAAATAGTGTTTTTGTGCTTTGTCACACACACACGACTGTCTGCTACATTGTTTGTGTTTAAGAATAGCCCCGTGCAGCCGATGTATTTGTAAGTGTCAGTAGTTTGTTTGTTTGACACTGCGATGTCACGACCCCAGCTTGCTGACTGCTCACGTTCCGACCCTCTGCCCCCCCCCACCAGAGAAACGCCATTGTCCGACGGCGCTGACCTGCACCCGTCCTCCTCTCCTCCCTCCCTCACTCATTTCCCCATTTATGCTCACCCTGCACTTTAGGACAGCCACCATGCTACCCCCCCCCCCCCCCCCCCCCCCCCCCCCCCCCCCCCCCCCCCCCCCCCCCCCCCCCCCCCCCCCCCCCCCCCCCCCCCCCCCCCCCCCCCNCCCCCCCCCCCCCCCCCCCCCCCCCCCCCCCCTCCCTTCCACCACCACCACCTCCCCCACATGCACCCTCCCAAACCCCTGCCAAACAATGTCAAGCGGACTTATTCTTTCCCACTCCGCCATTATGTCATCCGCTGATCATTCCAGAAAGGCACGGCCCCTCTCCTTTAGCCCCGTCCCACCTTGGTCCAACTCTCTCTGATTCGCCAACTTTCCCTGCCCGTCTCTCTCTCTGTGCTCTGCCTGCTGCCTCGCCTTCCCATCTTCATGTGCTTGCGTGTGTTTGACTGCCACCCCAGATCGCGAAGAGTGTGCGTGTCTGTGTGTTGTGGAACAATAGCCAGAGCCTAATCTCCATGTCAAAACCGCTCTGCCTCCCCAGCGAGCAGTCCGCTCAGCGTTTAGTAGCGTTTTGTCCCCCCATTCTTCCAGCACCACAAAAAGAGCAGAGCGGAGGGAGGAGTGAAGGCCTGTGTGTGTGTTTCTGTGTGTGTGTGTGTGTGTGTGTGTGTGTGTCTGTGTATGGATGAAGGGTGTGGGTGATGGTTGGGGGTATCAAGCTTTCACAGCCTAGAATTTTGAATTTACGAGTAATTTCAGGGAGTCACTGAGGAGGGGGGGGTGTTATGTGGATGTTTTCAGAGGTTATATCAGAGCTTTCAGTGGGGCATTTTAGGGTGACTGAGCTCGGCAGCTATCCTGAGCCCCCAAGGTCCTTATCTAGTGGTTTGGATGTTTAGACAGTGTGTTTTCACTGCTGAGACCAGGCGGAAAAAGAGCCAGGACCAGCAGAGGCTCTTAATAGGTTTACCTCGCCCTATTGAATCCAGCCAAGCGGCACAGATCAGATAGCCACAGCCTTCTCCGCAACGCTTATCGTCTCTGTCTTCCCCTCTCTTTCTCTTTCTTTTTGCTCTTTTTCTTCTCCTTTCTTTCTGCCTGAGAGGTGCGGAGAGGGGAGGAGAATCAGGGTGTAATTGGTGAACGGGGTTAAGTACATGTTTGAGCCCCCTGCGGGCCGGGGCGCTTCAGATGATGACTTAATCGTTTTTCTGGTCAATTATGTGTTTGCGGTCTCGCCCCCCCCCCCCCTCCCCCCTTTCCACCTCACTCTCCACTCTCAGGGTTATGATAGGGGGGAGGTCTGCTCCCAGTGGGGAGGATGA